TTCCCTACAGATTTAGAAAGTCATAAAGAATATTGTATTTAGCATTTTATGGCAAATAGCTCTGCATCAGGTACAAAACAATTTTTGGAAAAACAGCTGATGAAATTTTATAACCAAAGCTGTGAAAAAATAAACAGGATAGTTGAGGAAAAGGACTTTGCTTGGTGGTGAAACATGATGAAATGTCATTTTAGGAAGGCACAGATATTTGCTTTACTATCAATGAAAACAGGCAATGGGTCATCTGGCTATAAAGACCATGTGATTAAAAATGTCTGTTATTCACATCTTGGTCAAAATAAATTCAAATCTAGGGCTATAAATTCCTAGTTTGCTAAAAATTCAGAAGTATTTTTCCATCTGTTCTGTAATAATTCAGCTACCTTGTTGCTGTAAAGAATTTGGTCATCTGCCATTTGGGCAGGGAGTCATCTTTTAAAATGCATTAAAGTCTCATGGTATCTAAAAGTCATACAATTAGTGAGCTAATTAAATCAAGCTAGAGTTCCCCATCAAAAAATGTAATCTTTTCCTCACGCTGGGGAAATGTTTTTGATGGAGAGGTGTTCACTTCAGCTGAGCACACAGTGTAGAAAGGCACCTCACAGAAAACATCGCTTCGGTGTACAAATCCTGTAGCGCAAATAAACAGTGCCAGGCCAGATGCCACGGATGCTACAGCTCATGAGTGTCAGCTCCAGAACCTTAAGCCATCAGTTATAAAAGGATGCCTTTTACTCGCCGTCACTCACCAAGAAATAACATCATCCCAGACTGACTGCTGAAGGAGAGATGCCATCACCTCCCCACTAAGTCCCTAGGGACAGCAAGGAGGGGTGTGTGGTACCCAACCAGGGAAAATCTTCCCTTCAGAAGAAGAGGGGGCAACAGCAATCAAGTGTTCAGCCACCTAAGTCCGAAGTGCAATGTTACTGCAGCATTTTAGGAAATTTAAGTCTCCCTCTTCCCTTCTCCGCTTACAAATACGTGGCGGTGGGTGAAAAGCTTTTTTCACAGGTACACTTGGGGTGGAACAGAATATACTTCTCAGTATTATTTTTTTTAGTTAAAATTTGAATCAAGTGTAAATGCAGGAGTAAGAAATGAGGGTCAGCAAGACAAGCAAGGGCAGAAGGGATGGGGTCTGCCAAAACTCTGCATTGTGGAATTTGGCAAATCACTTAATCATTCCAGGGACTCAATTTCACCACATCTCCAAAGTATTATTATCCCAGACTTGGATGGTTTTGAACTTAAGCTCCTACAAGTGACCCAGCTTTGCCGATAATAATTTAAATTATTACTCATATTAAATAAAGCAGAATAAATATAATAAGTAATAAACTTGTAATGACAAGTACCTCAAGTAAAACAGTTCAGATGTTGCTGTCCCAGAGTTTTAACCTAATACTGAAGTGAAAAATAAGAAGTATTTCCATATCTCACATTTTACAAAACAGTAGGGTATTTGCCCCAGTCTTAGCTTGGACATGCAGCTCTGTTTTGGACTATCACTGTAAAATTCTGCAGTAATCCCAAGAGGGACACCTGAGCCTGCTGTCAGGTTGGCTTTGCTTGGCCACTGCTGTTATATCATTCACATTACCAAAGTTAAAGCTTTTCAGAAGAAATGGGAAACTGCAGCTGGAACTGTTTCTTAGCCGTGCAAAGTCTTTTTTCAGCACACACTGAAACACACTTCGAAATGTGCCCCCATAGCAGAGAGGGGTATGGATGAAGTAAGGAGAGCATGGAGAGACATGGGAGAAGGCAGAAGATGAGAAGAAAGCATTAAGGGCTGAGGTACTGATGTCCACAGCAGTAGGTGTTGCATGGGGTGATGTGGAGGAGTAGAGGGTTCTGGAAATGGGCTGCAGAGAGGTGGTGAGGAGGGCTTGCCTGGAAAAGAGAGAGGAGAGAGGATGGAGGTTGGAGGATGGGAGGAAGAAGAAAGTCTGGCAGGAGGTGAAAAGAAGGGAAGGGTAAGCCTGCTCTAGATAAAGCCCAAACCCAAGGAGCTGAGACATTTTGTCCCCCTGCCCAGAGCTCAGCCAACAGCACCGTGCATGGGCCCTTGCTGCCTCCATGAACCGGGAGAGATCCAGGGAAGGGCCAAGACCTTCTCCAGGGAAGGCCGGGGCAGGCCCTCTGCATGCACCCTCGCGTTACTCACTTTTCTGTTTTGACATTGGGATCTTAAGCAGCTATTATTTTCTAGCAGTCAGCAGTTTGCCCTCCTTGTGCAACAGACTGTAGGTCTGTACCCATTCCCATCAAAACCAAGGAACGGACACAGCAAACATGTACCGTGCCACTCGCTGGCTGCGGACAGGGGTGGAGAGAACAACGGAGTAATCTACTGGCAACAAGACCCCTCACTACGATGTAGCTCACTTTCAGTCCCCAGAATAAGTGTCCCTCCCCTCAGCATCACGGTCCCATTTTCGCCTGGTCTAAGGCATCACAGTGGTCCTGCTCCTGCCAGTGCTGAACCTGCCAGGGGGATACGGTGGGAGACCCCCAACCTGCCGGCAGCACGTGAAGGACTTAAGATGCTCAGGGTTTCTTTTTTTCTTTAGCCCTGCCTCCCCACCGGGGTTGGCTTGAGAGCTAGGCATGATTTTCCCACAAAGCAAGCAAATAATCAAAACTACCTTTCCCTCAGTAAGCAAAATCTCATTACTTTCTAAAATTTCCCTTTTCTTTTTTCCTTTGGAAAGTAGCTTTATTTTCTCCTTTTATTTCCACTCCCCTGTTTTCCTTTCCTTTTCCTTTCCTTTTGTTTCATTTCTAATCGCTGGTAGTAAGAGAGAAGAAAAGTGATAAATGAGAGAGAAACACTTCCCAGAAGGTGCACAACCATCTCACACAACACAAATTTATTTTCAAACAATGTTCATTAAAATAATTATAAACTTTAAAAAAATAGATTCCCTCTATTTTTCACCAGCTCAGGTAGAAGAGAAACCAGCTTCTCTTACTTTTTTTTGCATTGCTCTGCCCCATGCCTGCACAACTTTGCCTCCATTCCTGCATTTCGCCTGAAATGCTTGGAGAAAATGTATTAAAATGAGCAGGAGGAAGAGAAGGAGTGTGAAAATCATGTATCTACCTTGTACCCGGGTTTTCTCCCCCTCTTCTTTGGGACCTTCACGACGGGCAAAGCACCGGCTGGTGCCGAGTAGAGGTTGTGAACAGGCATTTTGATGGGTGCTGGCTGGAGCGGGGGCCGCCCTCGCTT